TGCAGCTTTCGGTCACAGACAGAGACGTGCAATCCTTAGCTTCGTGTGTGAATCCTGCCCCAGCCACAGCTTCCTTAGCTCAGTCCTGTAAGCCACTGCTTCTCCACCTTTGATCTAAGTCAGGTCTGATGATGGCAGGCGGGAGTGGTGCAAATGCTCCATGGTTCTTGAATGTGTTCCAGCCACTGAGATGCAATACTGAATTTTTTTTTCAATGAAATCCATGAGAAGTTACTAAAGGATTCTTTTTTTGTTTAAGATTGTTTATTTATTTATTTGTTTGTTTGTTTTTGAGAGGTAGAGCTACAGACAGACAGAGAGAGAGACAGGGAGAAAGGTCTTCTATCTGCTAGTTCACTTCCCAAATGAAGCCAGGAGCCAGGAGCTTCTTCCAGGTCTCCCATGCAGGTGCAGGGGCCCAAGGATTTGGGCCATCTTCTACTGCCTTCCCATGCCATAGCAGAGAGCTGGATGGGAAGAGGAGCATCTGGGACTCATATCAGTGCCCAAATGGGATGCCGGCACTGGAGGAGGGGGCTTAGCCTACCGTGCCACAGCACCGAGCCCAGTACTGAATATTTATAATGAGGGATTCTGGAATAAAAGTCTCTGCCTTAGAACTGCAAAGGGACTGGTCCCATAACCTATCTCCAAGTGGTCAATAATAATACGAGGGCATTTCAGAAAGTTTCTGGAAAATGGAATTAAAAGATAAATTTATTTTGATAAAAAAGTTTCAAAATTCATGTATACATTTTTCATAATATGCATTTTCTGTGAACTTTTTGAAGATCCTGTACATGTATGGATTTCTATTTTTTCTCATGAAAATAAACTTATTTTTAAATACTATTTTTTACACACTTCTTAAAAAATGTTTGAAAAGCAGAGTGACACACACAGACAGACCTTCCATCTGCTGGTTTACTACCCAAATGCCAGGAGCCTGGAACTTTGTCTGGGTCTCCCATATGGGTGTCAGGAGCCCAAGCACTCGAGCCACCACCTACTGCCTCCCAGAATGCATTAGCAGGGAGCTGAATGGCAAGTGGAGTAGCTGGGACTCGAACCAGCAGCACTCTGGTATGGGATGTAGGCTTCCCAAGTGGTGGCTTAACCTGCTGCACCACAGCACCTGCACTTACCCCGCCCCGACCCATCCCTACACAGACTAATTGACGTGCCTTCATACCTTACAAATCTTGGGTGTTTTTGGTTTAGATTCTAGAACAGCAGTCCCCAGATTTTGCTGTGTGTTCGAATCCCCTGGGAAGCTTTTGATTCTGATGCATGTTCTGCATCCTGTTCCAATCAAATGCTGGGAGCTGATCAGCATGCTTATGTTTTAGAAATCTCCAGTAATTCCAACAGCCAAAAAAATAAGGGGATAGCCTGAAATCCAAGTAACTGAGGTTCTGAGAGGTTAAGGGACATCTTTAGGGTCACACGGCTATGACAGGTCCCAGGTGAGTGTCCTGCCTCTGAATTAGCAAGGCCAAACCTCGCATATCGGACTAGATGCTGGATATGGTGGGTGGAGAGGTTGGCTGGAGGTGGGTTGAACATGGGCCTTTGTGTCCGTAGGAGAGACAAGAAAGCCACTTCAGTGTTAGCCTCCTGCCCCTCCCATCAATGCCGGTTCTGTGTGCAGACTGCTGGTTTGCATTTCATTTGGAGGGAGGCAAAATGGAACCTTTGTGCTGAAACTGAAGGGAATCAGGAAAGCCCACAGCTTGTCTTCAGACTTAATGTCAACTATTTGTCTCCTGCTATTTTCAAACGAACAAGGCCTCCCCAGGAGTTGCAGGCCAGTCTCAAGCACCCCCTCGCTTTTTTATGGTTTCCCAGTCTCTGCATCAGCAGGTATCAGAACAACCCACCATTCTGTAGAACTGTTCTATGAGCCCCCCCAGGGCTGCTGCAGGGGCCCAGGGAGACGCAGCACGAGGCGCTGACGTCACCCCAGCAGTTTTCCTAGAGTTCATGGAAAACGTGTAGTATGAGAAAAACTACGCGTGGATTTCAACGTACTTGCACCAATGTCCTTTAGTTCATTTTTCCACGAACTTTTTCACAAACTCTAGTGTGCTGGTTGGCGATTTGCTGGTAACTGGACTTCAAGCTCATTAACTAGAAGGTCAGAGGCTGGAAAGAAAGGAATGATCCATAATGCTCCACAAAGCACCAGCTCAGAAGGTATTCCCACCATGGGGCGGGATTGAGCAGTCCTGTCTTCCCTGTGGGGAGAAGTGAAATGTCTAAGAACTCTACAGGTACAGAAGCTCAGCTGAGTCGACTTTTCATCAGAGGCGGACGGGATTTTGAAGTCAGGCAGAGATGCGATCTTCAAAAAATACATATCATGGGAAAACTGTGCATGGATTTCAAAATTCTTTTGCACCAAAACAAACTTGCCTTTTCATACCATTTTTCTCAGACACCTTTTGAAGTAGTCTTATATAGTAAGTAACTTCCAATGGATGAGCTTAAATTCTGAGATCCTATGGTAGGACTTGGAGAACTAACGGGTTTTAACTTCCGCTTTTTTAATTACATGAAGCTTCTAGGTTAGGGGACTATTTCCCCAGCCTCAGAAAAATGATGCTATGAGTGCTTCTAAAAACACACCCTTTGTCACCGAAAGTCATGGCAGAACCCCTGTATGACCTGAATCAAAATAGGTTTGATAAAGACTAGTCTTTTAAAATATTTTGTAAAGAAAAATGAATGAATCTCTAGGGTGCTATTCTTAGGTATGTGATAATGAAATCCGGAAATCTGTGAATTTATACAACTTGTGGTGCTTAAGGCTGTTCTTGTCCATGACATGCACACTTGGCGTTCTGTAACAGTTCCTTGATTAGGAGAGAGAACCTAGGAAGTCGCTTATCTCAGGGGAGGGTCTCACACTTGAAAGTCAATCTCAGTGGAAAGAAAAGATTGAGACCATGGTCTGTTTAAGCCAGGGCTGCTCAGTGTGTGATCCACAGACCAACCGCATTGATGTAGCTCTAGAGTGACTTAGAGATGCAAAAATCTCAGGTCTCTAAAACAGACCTACTGAACAGAATATGTCAGGGTAGGGACCAGGTATCCGTGCATTCCAAGCTCTGCAGGTGCTTCTAGAATGAACTCACCTCCTCAAAGCTTTGTCCTAGACCAGTGTTTCTGGAAGTGTGATCTCCAGGCCAATAGCACCAGCATCCCAAGGGAACCTGGTAAAAACTGCCAGTGGCTCTTTATCACTGAGCATTAGTGAGTGATTGTGGAATGCCCTGTGTCTCTTTTAAATGTTCAAAAAGCTACAGAGATGGCAAAACTGAATATATGAAATAATGAGTTATTGGATAAAAGCTTGCATCTTAGAACTGGAAAGAACTGAAAACATCTTCATGTAGCTAACAGCACTGGCCACCGGGTCAGACACTCAGGAGGTGTTAAAAACAACCTGTGCTGGGGCTGGCACTGTGGCATAGCGGGTGAAGCCACCACCTGCAGTGCCGGCATCCCATGTGGGTGCCGGTTCGAGTCCTAACTGGTCCACTTCCGATCCAGCTCTCTGCTATGGCCTGGGAAAGCAGTGGGGGATAGCCCAAGTCCTCAGGCCCCTGCACCCGCATGGGAGACCTGGAAGAAGCTACTGGCTCCTGACTTTGGATCAGTGTAGCTCTGGCTGTTGTGGCCTGCTGGGGAGTGAACCAACGGATGGAAGACTCTCTCTGTCTCTCTCTCTGTGTAACTCCTTTTTTTTTTTTTTTTTTGACAGGCAGAGTGGACAGTGAGAGAGGCAGAGAGAAAGGTCTTCTTTTTCCATTGGTTCACCCCCAATGGCCGCTGCAGCTGGCATGCTGTGGCTGGCGCACAGCACTGATCTGATGGCAGGAGCCAGGTACTTATCCTGGTCTCCCATGGGGTACAGGGCCCAAGCACTTGGGCCATCCTCCACTGCACTCCCGGGCCGCAGCAGAGAGCTGGACTAGAAGAGGGGCAACTGGGACAGAATCCGGCGCCCCGACTGGGACTAGAACCCGGTGTGCTGGCGCCACAGGCGGAGGATTAGCCTAGTGAGCCACAGCGCCGGCAACTCTGACTTTTAAATAAATAAATCTTTAAAAAAAAAAGCACCTGTGCTTAAACAAGCCATCCTGGCGATGCACCTGCAAGTTTGAGAACCACAGAGCACCATTCTCTTTGAATCTCCTACCTGCATGGCCATTAAAGCTTCGTCCCTATTTCAACCTGCACTCAAAGCCTGGGCAGCTGCCCCTCTCTGCTACCCCCTCCCCCCAGTTCTAGGCTGACAAGTGCAGGTTGAAGGATGAGGTCTTGACCTATTTGCTGTAACATGACCACACCTGGGCTCCGGTGGAGGAGATGGCATGGTTTTGAAACAGGGACTTGTTCTCATCTCTCTCCGTGGACCACCATCCACACTGACCCCACATGTGCCCTGTTCTCACTTCTTCTGAGGTACAGACCAGAAAGCAGTGCACCGAGAGCTGGCATGAGTGTCACAGTTCTTTCTTTTTTTGAAGGATTTATTAATTTGAAAGGCAGAGTTACAGAGAAAGAGGGATAAACAGAGAGGGAAGAGAGATCTTCCATCCACTGGTTCACTCCCCACATGTCTGCTTAAGCACTTGGGCCATCTTCCGTTGCTTCTCCAGGCCCACTAGTGTGGAGCTACATCAGAGGCAGAGCACCCAGGACTTGAACCAGCACGCGTATGGGATCCCACTGTTGCAGGCAGTGGCTTAACCTGCTGCCCCACAGCACCGGCCTCATGCTTGAGATTCTTGAGCATGGCCTTGCCTGCAGGGCCTTCTGGGGCTCACCTGGCCTCCCTCCAGCTCCACGGAAGACGTGTCTTTGCCCTGGAGAGGGTGGAATCATCTCAGTCTTAGGGACTGTAGGACTTGGGGTCCCCAAGGTGGTTCCTAGACCCCTTCTTCTCCAGCAACTTGGAAGAGATGCTGGCTAACAAATGTATGTCCCCAAAGGTATCCTGACCTATGATCTGAAGAATTGCATAAAGTTAAAAGAGAAGACAGATATAAGAAAGCTGAAGACACAAGAAGGTAAGAGGGGTTGGGGAACTTCTCAGTGGGAGCTCTCCCGGTGGGAGGACTGGGGCTGGGAAGAGGCAGGGCTCTGGGGAGGGCCAGTCTTGTGGTGCAGGCAGAAAACACAGCGTGTGCAGGAGAGGCAGGAGGGAGTAGCTCCCTGTCAAAAGCAGAGTTCTAGTGAAGCTTGGCCTTGGCCTGAGTCGTGCAGATGATGTCACCTGCAAGATCTTCGCGTTTTGCATTTGCCTGGAGGAGACAGGAGGGAGAGTCAGGTCTGTGCTTGGAAGCTCTGATGCCCGTTTTCTGGTGAGAGGTGATGCCACACGTCTCCCCTTCCTCGGGCAGAATCACTCACGACTCTTGCAGGAGACGGAAGCCTTCTGCGGCACGTTCCTTACTGACAGATCTGCCTGCAGACGAACGCCAGCACCTCCTCGTCCGCAAAGCAGCCTGGGATGACTGTGTACAGCTGTCCCCCCTCACCTGCGAGGGACATGTTCCCGATTCCCGGTGTGCACGAAACCATGCCTAGTACTCAACCTTGTGTCCCACGGGTTTTCAAAAGGATAACAGAAAATGCAGATTGTGGAAAAAAAAAAAAACTATTCATGGGTTTAAAAATTCCTGCACCTAAATAAGCTAATCTTTTAATCCCATTTTCCATGAATCTTTGATTTTATTTCAAAATGACACAATGTTTTCCACAAATCTTTCAAAGTACTCTCATATACTGTGTTTTATTTTCTACACATACCTATGATAAAGTTTAGTTTATAAATTAGGCACAGTAAGAGATTAACAACAATAAATAATAAAATGGAACCGTTGTAGCAGTAGACGGTAATGCAAGGTATTTACAGCCTATAAATTGCTTGTTTCTGGAATTTTCCATTTAATACTCCAAATTTCCAAATTCATGGAAAGTGAAACTGTGGGTAAGGGGAAAAGGTGTAATGTGCAAATCCTCTGCCCCACTTATAAGACTTTTTAATGAAATTCACTCCTATTTACATAACCCAAGAAACAGACTTTGGGAACCTGTGCACTGCGGGGGGCAGGGTGAGGAGCAGCTGCAGGAGAGAAATCCGGAGCCTTGTTCACTGGACAGAATGAAGCTGCACGTGACGGAAGGGGGGACCCACCTGCTCATGACTTGGTATCTACAGAGGAACATGTCAATTAATGGTCGAATTTCTAGGAAAGCCCCAGAGCCCCAGACACCCAAAACGTCAGGTCATCGGCCACAGTGGAAAGCTTTTGGGGTGTTTGAGCCTATAAAACCCTCAGTTGTGAGTCAGCCTCAGTGTTGAGCGCTGTTACATGGGTCTAGTACTTACCTCATGGGTATAACCCGGATGAAATCAAACGCTGCAGACCAGGGGGTGTAGCTTGCTACATGTCATATGCTGCACTAAAAGCGGCACATACATTAAAATAAATGAGAGCTTTCCATAAATTAGCTCTAAGCCATTAGCAGTCTCTCTGAGGTTGGACTACTCCAGCCACTATCGTTACAGGCAAGGCCGCTGAGCTTTAGAAGGGTTAAGAAACTTGCGGAAGAAGCTTGGTCACGAAGCAACAGTATAGGAATCTGCAGCAGTCTAAATGGCCTGCCCATGCCCTCGAGCCCTAAGCTCTCCCGTTCCAAGCCCTCAAAATCCATTATAGTCAACCGCCCCTCGGCCAGCTGCTGGGTTCCCGTCTGTAGACTGCACTACTTGTGAGTGGAGAATATTAACATATTACATCCAAATGGAACACACACACACACACACACATACACACACAGGTTTGTTTTCCTCTCATTATTCCCTAAATACTGCAGAATAGCAACAATTGACAGTGTTGGGTATTGTAAGTCAGTATTTGGTATTGTTTTACAGTATCTGAGAGCATGTTTGTAGGTTATACACAAATATGAAGGTATTTCAGCAAGTTTGTGAAAAGTGGAATTAAAAGATAGGTTTAGATTTTGATGCAAAGACACTTTGAAACTCATGCAGATGTCAGGGGACCTTGAAAAAGTTCATGGAAAATGCATATTAGGATAAAATTCTGCATGGATTTCACACTTTTTGCATCAAAAACAAATTAATTTTTTTCTTAAAAATATTTATTTATTTGAGAGTCAGAGTTACAGAGAAAGAGAGAGGGAGAGACAGAGGGAGAGATCTTCCATTCATTGGTTCACTCCCCAAATGACCACAATGGCCGGAGCTGGGCCGATCTGAAGCCAGGAGCCGGGAGCTTCTTCCAGATCTCCCACGTGGGTGCAGGGGCCCAAGCACTTGGACCATCTTCCAGTGCTTTCTCAGACTCATTAGCAACGAGCTGGATCAGAAGTGGAGCAGCTGGGACTTAAACTGGTGCTCATATGGGATGCCAGCACTGCAGACATGGCTTAACCCTCTGTACCACAACAGCAGACCCCAAACTTACCTTTTATTTTTTAAAAAAAGATTTAATTATTTATTTGAAAGGCAGAGATAGAAAAAGAAGAGAAATCTTCCATCCACTGAATCACTACCCAAATGACAATGGCTAGGGCTGGGCCAGGCTGAAGCCAGGAGCCAGGAGCTTCATCTAAGTCTTCTACTTGGGTGCCGGCAGCCCAGGTACTTGTGCCGTGATCCGTTGCCTTCCCAGGCTCATTAGCAGGAAGCTGGGTTGGGAGTCTCAGTTCTACTGTCTGTTCCAGTTTCCTGCTAACGTGCACCCTCAGGGGCAGCAGGTGATGGCTCAAGTACTTGGGTCCCTGCCACTCACATGGGACATCTGGATTGAGTTCCTGGCTCCTGGCGTGGACCTGGCCCAGCTCTGGCTGTTGTAGGCATTTAGGGGATTAAACCAGTAGATGGAAAATCACTCTGTTTCTCTCTTTTTCATCTGTATTTCTGTTTTATAAATAAATACATACGTTCAAAGATTAAACACTTTGAAGTTGTACAAATATTTGCAGCATAGGCAGCCTGACTCCTGCTCTTATCATTCTGTTGCTCTTGGAAAGGCACAGAGGCAGAGACAGGCAGAGAGAAAGCTCTCCCATCCACTGGTTTACTTCCCAAGTGCCTGCAAACAGCCAGGGCTGGGTTGGAGTGAAGCCGGGAGCCCTGAACTCCATCCAGGCCTCTCACAGAGGTGGCAGAGGGAACCAATACTTGAGCCATCACCTGCCGCTTCCAGAGTGTGCATTAGCAGGAAGCTGGAGTGGAGAGTGGAGCCAGAACTAGAACCCAGGCACTCTGATATGGGACGCAGGTGTCCCAAGCAGTGGCGTAACTGCTGTTCCAGACACCTTCCTGTGCTGTTTGTTCTTTAATGGGTAGACTCCCCGAATCTTCCTGGTGTCTCCCAGCTTTGGCGTGGATTTCATTCCCGCTGAATACAAGGGGTGCCTTATGGTGGGACTTCAAAACGTGGTTCCAGGGGCCAGCGCTGTGGCATAGCAGGTGAAGCCGCTGCCTCCAGTGCTGGCGTCCCGTGTGGGTGCTGGTTCAAGTCCCAGCTGCTCCACTTCCTATCCAGCTCTCTGTGAATACACCTGGGAAAGCGATGGAAGATGGCTCAAGTGCTTGTCCCCTGCCACCCATGTGGGAGACCCAGAGGAAGCTCCTGGCTCCTGGCTTCAACCTAGCCCAGCTCTGGCTGTAGTGGCCCATCTGGGGGAGTGAACCAGCAGGTGGAAGACCTCTCTCTCTCTCTCTCTCTCTCTCTCTCTCTGCCTCTCCTTCTCTCTCTCTGTAACTCTGCCTTTCAAATAAATAAGTAAATAAATAAAGCCACATCAAAAACAGGGTTGCACTAGCCCCCAAGTCTTGGGAGAACGGAGCCATTGCCTATGCTGTGTCTCTACATTGCCTGCTCCTGTCTTTGCTGGTAGGACTCACAGCAAACATCGGACTCCCCCTGGAACTCGTTGACAAACATGACCCTTGGCCAGGGTATGTCACCTACACCTCCCCCGTGGTAAAAAGACTCATTGAGAAAAGCAAGACGAGAGAGCTGGAATGCGCGAATGCCTTCGAGGAAAGCCGCCGGGCAGCGAAGCCCAACAAGGCCTCCAGCATCGTGCAGCTGAAGAGGAGGAAGTCGTCGAAATCTTCCAGTGAAGCTGCCTTCCAGGATGTGCTGTCACAGGCCATGTTATCCGTGTGGGGCGCTTACTCCGTGTTGGCCGTGGGTCCCGCCATCAGCCCGGAGCCCACGTGCGACAGCCCTACCGCAACCCACAACAAGATCCTCTTCTCCCGCAGGCCGGTGATGAGGCTGCTCCCCTACAGCTCGCTGCTGGCCAGCAAGGAGAAACATGCCAACGTCTAGCCAGGAGCCCCCGCGGCCGTGCCCTCCCAGGAATGTTACAGCAATTAAGCTCCATGTGCCACACACGTCACCTTGTCCTTTGAATTGGAACTTGTGCCCTGTTCAGGCAGAGGCTGGCTCAGAGAAGCCACCTCCGGATGGGGGGGCCGCGGTAGGTGTGTGGGGGCCTCCCCTCCCACCCAGCTGTCTGTGCGGTGGGGTGTGGCAGTGTCATGTTTTAGTGTCGGCCATAGCGGCTGAGGAGCTAACCGCGTGCAGGTGTAGCAGTCCCCGTCCAGGCAGGAGATGAATCACACCAGTTATTTATTTATTTTTAGCAGAGATCCTTGAATGTAAGGGATTGTGGAGCAGGGGGCTGAAAAGGAGACCCCAGAGGTTTCCACAGAGGAAGCTGTGATGGCTCCTAGGCTGGGGGAACAAAGGGAAGAGGTGGCACTTAGTAAAAGTTAGCCGCTTGTAGAGGTGGCATCGTGGGGACACTGTGCCCCTGAACTCTGGGGTGGAGTCTCTGTAGGGATGGTATCCCCACTGTTTGGCTGGTGTCTCCAAGGCAGCACTCCTGAGGCTGGTCTTTGAGAGTGCTGGCCAAGCAGCAGCCTTGGTTCTCAGGGAGTCTGCTCTGCTGCCCTGCTTGGCACCTGAACCTCAGGCTATGAGGCTTTGACCTTGAAGGCTTGTAAGGTGGGGATCAAGACGGCCCTAGCAGAGAAAGGGAGGAGGTTTTCCCCTGGCCCCGTCCTTCTCGGAGCTTTGCCTTGTGGAGTAGAGTGTGGGGGGCTGGGCCCCAGCTGCTTTTCTCAGAAGACAGCTAGACTTGGTCTACCCATGCCCCTAGCTGGCGCCAAGGCAAGCAGTGCTGAATTATCCCCCATCTCCAAGCAGACAAGCTTCAGCTTCAGATACAGGGGATCTGTCATGATGAGCAAACCCCAGCTGGTTTCATGTTCACGGTCATGTTCGTGGGCATGGCTGACCCTACTTCAGGTGCTGTGTTTGCCCATGCAAGGCAGTTCACCCCCACCTGGCTTCTCGCACAGAGACGTAGAGGAATGTAATAGCCTCATCTGAAAAAGCAGAATTTGCCCTGTAATGCATTTTCTCCCTCCGAGAGTCTTGTGTCGCTATTCGGAGACGCCTACGTAGGCAGAAGCTGTGGGGAACTCTTCTCCGGCTCCCGGGTATTGGTGTTGGGACGACTGCACAAATCAGGAGCTCCGGATCCATTCTGGGGTTGCCAGCCCTTGGCCAGAGTGAGTTCTTAGAACAACACAGGAGGTTTCTAGTGAATTCCAGTGACTGTGTTTTGTGTCCCTGGAAAGTTTATAGCAAGAAGTAGGTGATAAATTCCACCAACAAGAAACTTTATCTCCTCTTCCCTTTATGGGTGTTTATGGTCAGGGTTTACATGGAGTATAGAATCTTACTGAGTATTAGCGTCTATAGGGATCTGGGATGATTTAGGATGTTTTCTTCCAATCCCTTCAAGGGCAGAATGGTGTGGATTGCACAACTTTTATTTTCCCATTTCTAGGCATTGAATCATTTTTAATCATCTTAAAAGTGTGTACCCTCTAAATTAAAATGATTGTCTTCTAGATCGCTTAGTTGGATGGATTTAATGCCCAGCCTGTTTTACTAACTCGAGTCATGGGGAAAGGACCCATTTGCATCTTGCATGGGGACAGGAGCTGCCTGCACCCTGCCACTGCACTCCCTAGGCAGCTTGAAGAGAGAGAACCTCTAATTCCACTGGAGAGGGGGGAATCCTGCCCAAGTCCAAGGTGGGATTCGCAGGTCTGGCCCGCAGGGGGACTTGACCAGCCATGCCTATGAACAGCAGGGCTGACAAGGCCTCTGGGAATCAGTTCTCCGAGGAAAGATACACCTGGGGAAGATCAGCTGGATTCCGCATGGAAGCCTGGTCACTGCGGGAGGAGGAGAGGCCTGGGGGGCCCCGTATCTCACGCTTACACGTCTCCTGCTCCAGACCTGCCTGAGCACCATGAGGGTGGGGAGTGGTGAGTCAGACTCTCACAGGCCCCTGGAAGGCCCTGGGGGCGGACCAAGGCCGAGTGGGGAGAGGTCTTCTCAACTTCACATTACCCACCCCCCCCCCCCCCCCCCCCCGCATGTGGACAAGAAATGGCTGCATCTGGCAGAGCCTAGTGTGTGCTTGGTGGGGCCAGCCTTGTTTGTGAGAAACCGAGAGACACCCTTGATGTCTGCAGGAATGGGCACGGGGTCCTTCCTGGGGCCTGGAGTCAGTCAGGAGCAGCAGGGCCTTGGAGCGAGTGGAATGTGTGGGTTATCCCTCAGGTAACCTCATCGGCCTGTTCCAGCTAGGGGTGGCCTGGGCTATCTCAGGTTACCCTGAGTATATTTATTTCCCTTGCATCTCCAAGAGGGGAGCTGGCATTCACTGGTGTTCCACAGCCCGAGGGGCCTCTTCTTATTTATCTCCTCTGCGTATGGAATTTTCTGCTTGGCAGGAGAGCAGTTTCCATCCGTCCCCCTGCTGCAAGCAGGAGGTTCCTGAAGCTACAGAATATGGATTTTGTTAGCCTGTCTGTGTTGCTCTGTAGCTAGGGCCCGGTCCCGACACATCCCGCGCAGCTGTTTCTGAGCAGATTCTTTGGCTCCCGGCGCACATTTGCAAATCCCGAGGCTGGTGCTTGAACGGTTGATGTTTAACTTCGGCAACATGACCGAGCCTGCTGGCCGCTGTCACTTTGGCACGGGGCTCGTGAGGACATCAAACAGTTCCACATTCTGCAGCCTTCCTGGCCACGGCAGGGAGCAAGTCTGGATGGAGCGAGGCCAGCTTGGAGGAGGTGACTCTGAGAACAGAGGTCTGGGCAAGCCAGATATTTGGGGGTGGCCTGGGAGCTTTGGGGAACAGCGAACAGAGAACAGCTGTGGACCTGATTAGCCGTGGGGTCTAGGCAAAATCATGTGGTCTGGCCCTGCCCAGGGAACTGCTGGGAGGACTTGAAGTTTGATAAATCTACAGCAGGCTCATTTTTAAGTTGATAATTTTGTGTGGTCCGTGAAAGATGCTATGATGATCCAAATGGCTTTTGGCACCAAAAAAAACCCCAAAAACAAACAAACAAACAAAACAAAAAACCTCCCCCTGCACCAAACAAACAAACAAAACAAAACAAAAAACCTCCCCCTGCACCCAACCCTGATTTAGAGCTACTTTGGAGTGAGACCATCACAGCTTAGTCAACAAATCCTGCATTTCGTTTCCTTGGCCCATGGTCCTCACACAGGGGACACAAATGCCTCCCTGTTTCCCACATCTCATTTTTTTAGGACCAAGGGAAATAATTGAGTACCCTGAGGGTAAGGATTTTGGTTCTTGGGCCTCAATGGAGGTCCCTAAGGGTACTAAGAAGCTGCATGAAGCAGGGGACACACACAGGACAGCGTTCAGCTCTCTGTGCTGTGATCTCAACCAGGAACCACTGGGGTGTCCATGCATGGACACATAGAGCTAGGAGTGGCCTGAGGCTTGAATCCAGGGACTTGGATGTCATGGGATGTGGGTGTCAAAAGTGCTGTCTTTACCACTGTGCTGGACACCTGCTCCTGAGATGTTCTTTTAAATGATCAATCCATACCTATGAGATGAGATTCCAAGGTGACCATTTTCCCCTTAGCCTTTTTGAGGGACGTGGTTTCGTAGACTTCACTTGTTCCGTCTCCATGCTTGAAGCATGTCGACAGGCCCTCAAAATACATGCCCTGAGTGCTTGCTTGTACCAGGCACTGTGCCAGCGGCCCGTCCGTGGCCACGGGAGACACAGCTGGGCTTACATTTCAGCGTTGGAGACATTAGACAAGGGTTCTGTCAAATGCCACTTGGGCTGTGCATTAGGCAGGGGCACAGGGCTCTGTGAGAGTGAATTTGCTTTAGGCTCATGACATGTTCTCTCAGTCTTCTGAAAAAGGGATTAGAGTTGGAGGCAGGATTAGTGTCAGGACAGCTGCTCATAAAAGGGAATGAGGTCATAGTGAATTTTGGGCCAAGTGGAATTTCAGCGAAGCCTGGTAAGTTTGTGAAACTCTGCAAAGCTGCCTTCAGTTTCAAACTTGGTCCCCAACACGCTTGTTTGTTTCTGTAGCACCATGGAGCTGTTGCTAGCTCAGGCTGGCTTGGGGTTAGGGCATCCCGCTCCACACTCCCGGTGACAGCACGGAGGAAGTGCCAAATGTTTGCACACACTGTTTATTCCAGGGCGCTCACTTCCTGCCTGCCTTTCTGTCCCGAGGGACTGGGCAGGGCAGCTACAAAGGAGACTCTGAGGGCCCTTTGCTGTGCTCTGCAGACCTTGGGCAAGGACCTGGGCCAGGCCTTAAGCATCCGGTTCCAAACCATTTGGGCTTTCCTGGGTCTTCAGTGCTGTCTTTGATTTCCTTTCTGGCCAGGCAACCCCTGCTCGATGCTTGCGTTCCCAGGATCTTGCAGAGCTCTCCGTAGACTGTAGCGCACTGCGACCTTGACACTGCCCTGACTCTATCTCCTTCCTTTTCTTTCCCTCCCTCCTCATTTCTTCCTTTATCATCTTCTTCCTTCCTCCTTGTGTGCCTCCCTCCTTCCCCTTCTTTCCTTATCTTTTGCTCTTCGTGGCTATTTTTTATAATTGCTAAATTAAATGATACTTGCTGCAAGTAACTTGAAGTTTAAGTAATCAAGATGACTCTGAGCCTCCAGTCTTTAGGAGAAGCATGCCTGAGTACTGAAGTACTAAGCTGAGTACTAAAGTACTAATCTGAATACTAAAGTACTCTCATACCTCCATCAAGAAGACAATAGGGAGTTTGCAAGTACTTCCTGGGAGGCTCTGAGGAATACTTGCCCTAGCCACCTGACCATCATCACAGCCACCTGTCACCCTGGCCACCTACCTCATCCCAGCCACCTGTCACCCTGGCCACCTACCTCATCCCAGAAGCAGCTACTTCCAGGTCCCAGAGCGTTGCTGTCTCACTTCACTCCAGCATAACCATTGGGTCCACTACACATTCCCAACGTCAGCTCTGCCTGAGGTGGAGCCATC